TATTATAACCACAATTAAAAGTAAAATAAATTAGCAAAACCTAAGCTTAAAGGAAAAATAGCCAAACTGTAGCTGAAAGCTAAAAATAGCAGAACTTTAGCTAATGTAAACAAGAGTAGATAAAGTAGATAAAATCTAAAATTAGCTTTGCAGTAGCTGAAATGAAAACTAAAGAAACTGGGACTGGTAGGTAAGTTTTTGCATTAAAAAAAGGTAAAATGAAAGTTTAAATCAGTTAAAAGTTAGGCTAAAATTATAAAGTTAAAATTATCAAAACTACAATTAAATGTAAGAAATTATCAAAGCCATAGCTTAAAGGAAAAATTATCCAAACTGTATCTGAAAGCTAAATATATTTTGAATTTTCATTTATTAATTTATGTAATTCTTAAAAACAACAAAAAAGAACATTCAAAGTACCAAGTAAGTAAAAATCCTTCTGGGAAAACATCTTGTGGACAGATGAGACCAAGATAGAGCTTTTAGGTAAAGCACATCATTCTACTGTTTACCGAAAATGAAATGAGGCCTACGAAGAAAATAACACAGTACCTACAGTCAAATATGGTGGAGGTTCAAAGATGTTTTGGGTTGTTTTGCTGCCTCTGGAACCTTGACTCTGGGTGCCTTGACTGTGTGCAAGGCATCATGAAATCTGAAGATTACCAAAGGATTTTGGGTCGCAATGTAGGGCACAGTGTCAGAAAGCTGGGTTTGTGTCCCAGGTCATGGGTCTTCCAGCAGGACAATGACCCCAAACATACTTCAAAAAGCACCCAGAAATGGATGGAAACAAAGCGCTGCAGAGATTCAAAGTGGCCAGCAATGAGTCCAGATCTAAATCTCATTAAACACCTGTGGAGAGATCTTAAAATTGCTTTTGGGAGAAGGCACCTTTCAAATATGAGAAATACTTAATTAATACTTAATTTTCTGGAAAAAATTCAGGGGTGCCAACACTTTCGGCCATGACTGTATCTAAAATCTAAATGTAATAAAACCATAGCTAAATATGTCAAAACATTAATGTGAAATAGCAAGGCAGTAACAAAAAGCCAGAGTTAGCAAAATGCTAAAATGAAAAAAAGGCAAAGCTAAAACGTAACTAAAAGCTAAATTAGCTGTGCTGTAGATAAAAGCTAAAGTGAGCAACACAGTAGCTAAAAGGAGCGTAGAAAGACAAAAACAGCAGGTGTGCTGACGTTGACTCATTATAGAACTGTTTGTAGGAAACTCGAGAGGAAAATAAGTGCTGACTCGGCATACACACAACAATAGACGTCTTCTTGTTTACCAGACCTAAAATGACTCCACAGGCTAAATGTCTTTGTTTGATTTACAGATCTTTTGTGTCCACTGAATGAGACGCTGGTCCTGACTGTTTGAAGGAAGGAAGTGTTAATCTGTCTTTTATCTGTTGCTTCTGTTTGCTCAGTCGCTCAGGAGACATTATTGAACCTCTTCTAAAAAAGCAGTGGTTTGTTCGCTGCAGTCGAATGGCTGAAAAGGCCATACAGGTAAGTGTCGTGACATTTCAGCTGGCCTCTAGACATGAACTTCATCACATATTTATTTATATTTATGTCAGGCCTCCCTATAAAACACTTTGAAACACTTTGAACTGATGGGATGTCTCTGTGTCCATCAGGCTGTGGAGGACGGACAGCTGGAAATCCTTCCTCACTACTACACAAAGACCTGGAAGAACTGGATGTCCAGCATCAGGTACTCTGTTCTGACCTCTGATCTGGATTAAACTAGAACTGAACTTTGGGTTGTGTGGATGATAAGGGAGTTGTTGCTGTTTGCTCTGCAGTGATTGGTGCATATCTCGCCAGCTGTGGTGGGGCCATCAAATCCCTGCTTACCAAGTAGAGCTTCCTGATTCTACAACTGATCCAGAGGTCGGTTTGTTTACGTCGCTAAGAATGTTTTAAATGTATATCATGATAGGGTTAACTAAAACGTTTATTCAAATAAAATCTTCAACAATAAAGATTCCTTAAAGCAGAGATTCTTAACCTGTGGGCCGTGAGCGCCACCTTGAGGGCCTCAAAAGAACAACAGTTTTTAACTTTGGGCCGCAGAGGGCCGTGGGACCGCATTGATTTTGTCTCAATTCAGGGGCTGGGTCCTCATGAGTGCGCATTTGTCGGCTGCATACGTCATTGCGCCGCGCGGAGG